CCGACCTTTGTTCACCTTCCTCCTCCCTGCCCTCTGCCTGCCAGGCGCGTCGTTTCCTCCATGCCCTCTTTGCTCCCCCCCTGCCGTGCTCCCTCGTCCCTCCCCCCGCCCTCCATCCGCACTCCTGTGCCCCATCCTCTTCCAGTCGCCCTTCCTCCCTACCGTCATCCGTCTGCCCTCCATCCACACTCCCTCCCTCCTTCCCTTCATCCCTTCATCCCTCTATCCGCACTCCCTTCATCCCTCTGCCCTCTATCCACACTCCCTCCCTCCCTCCATCCTCCTTTTTCTTTGCTACTGGGGCGCGCGGCCCGCATGCATCAGCCGAGGGGCCACGCGCGCGCGCGGCCCCGCCCGCAAGCGCAGCACGGGGAATCTGGATGCTGGTTACGGAAGGGATACCCATGACATGCAAGAGCGGCGACGAGCGAGGGGGGAGAGAGAGAGAGAGAGAAGAAGAAGACTTTCCCAGAAGGCGGCGGGACTTCTCAGAAACCCTCCTGCCGTCTGATATTTTGTTTTGTTTTCAGGGAAGGCTTAGAAACCTTCTCAGAAGGCTGGGTGACTTCCGAGCCTTCTGACAAGGCCGTCTCCTTCCCCCTTTCCCCCTCGGTCGCCGCCGAAAATACGAACGCCACCTCCAACACCTCCATATCCACCGACTTGGCCTCCCCAAACATCAACAGCAACCGGGACAGGCCCACGCGGCAATCCAGGATAATCCACGCGGCAAGGAAGAGCCGAGAGAGAGAGAGAGAGAGAAAGGGAGAAAGAGAGAGAGAGAGAGAGACAGTTGATGGGGGAGTCGGGTAAGACCTGCAGGCGGCCCAACAGCAGGGCCGAGCGCAAGCCAAGGCGGTCCTAGCCCAGTGAGACGGTGCAGCACGTTCTGCTATTCGAGCTCGAATGGTGCGGGGTGGGTAGGATGTAGGACGACATGCAGCATGAGAGCCAAACGCAAAGCCGCCTCCGTCAACCCCGAGCCTCCTCCCACTTCCCGCAGCCTCCACACCACTGCCCAGGACCGCCCGCCAGAAGGACGACGAGAATCCGTGCATGCGAGGGCCTACCTCCGCTGGTACAGCGGGGGAGCCGGGCACTTGGCATCGCTCGGACGTGTGAATTCTTTCTCGGCGAGTACCATCGAGGAGCATCCTGGATCATCTGGCCAAGAAAGCACGCACGAAAACATAAAATTATCCCGGCAAAGCAACCTAACAGCGATGTGTCTAAGTATAACTGAAACATGCAGCAGCAGTGAGAGGCACTGTGATACCAACAGTAACAGTAATAGTGATGCAAAAGCTGTTGTCATCGTCGCGCTGAGTTTGATTCGATGTGTTGTCAAACAAGGTACTGCCATGGACGCATGTCGCTTGAATGACTACATGTATAAACGAGACACTGCTATCAACGCACGGAACTTGAATAGATATATGTCCAAACGAGACACTGCTATCAACGCGTGGAAAATGAATGGACGCTTGTTCAAAGGAGACATTGCTATCAACGCATGGAGCTTGAAAGTATGTTCCATATAGCGGTACGGCCAGGGGAACGCCATTGCAATCGAAACTCTGGTGACGAGGCACGTTGAGTGAAATGGACTGCAGTGTCACTAGCAACTCCTAAAACAAGCACGGCTGTCGCGGAAGGAATATAAAATGTGACCCGAGACTAACCTAGTGAAAACTCAGAGAAATCAGTGTGTGTGTGACGCTTGTGTCAGGGAATTGAAAGTTGAGATGTGACAGGTCGACAAGGACACTGTGTATGAGTGTTGCATGATAGTGAGAGAACGAGTGTTGCCCAGGAGTGTCGCCCAGATATGAAGTTCTGAGAGGTCACAGAGCACAAAGTGTGTGACTGTCGCGTGGGATTACTCTGAATGTATCCCGGGATTGCCGTTCCAGACAGCCAGATAGCCCGGCGTGTATACCTGTTGTGTGCGATTTTTCCAAATGTAGCCTGGGAATGGCGTTCTGGGAGGTCTCGGAGCACGAAGTGTGTGACTCTTGCATCCTGTTATTCCGAATGTGGCCTGGGAATGGGGTTCTGGGATGCCAAAGAGCTCGAAATGTGTGACTGCTGCATCCCGTTAATCAGAATGTGGCCCGGGAATGGAGTTCTGGGGTGTCAAGTACGAAGAATTGTATGACTGTTGCGTCCGGCTATTCCGAATGTGGCCCGGGAATGGCGTTCTGGGAGGTCAAGGAGCACCAAGTGTGTGACTGTTGCATCCGGTTATTCAGAATGTGGCCTGGGAATGGGGTTCTGAGAGGTCGACGAGCACGAAGTGTGTGACTGTTGGTGAAAAACGAGCCCGGCACAGGCCCGGCCGGCCACTCCCAACGCCTGCCCGGACCCCCCTGTGGAGTGATCTGTGAGCTCTTTTGAGTCAACTAGAAACCTATCAGTCTTCGCTGTTAGGTAAAAACACGAGGAATGCACGTCCGAGCGATGGTAAGGGGCAGAGCGAGCCGGATCTGCATCTGCAGCTAATCGTGCCGCCGATCGGCCCCGCGCGAAGAGGAGCCGCAAACATCCACCAGTTCCACCACCCCTTCTGCCCTCCAACAACCGGAGGGGCCTAGGGACGCACTAATAAGTATGCACAACACCCAGGTTTTACATTATTGTTCCATGTTTTCTGGGTTTTCTTCCTCCCCCTTCCCATGTTTTTCATTTTCTTGGGAATCGGCGTTCACTTGTGTCTGTGTGGTTCTCCTCTCCTCCAGCAGCCCGCAGATGCTGGAGAGCGAGCGAGAGACCATGCGCCTCGCGCCTGCGAGGCCCATCGCTAAGGGCACTCCAGGGTTCAGCGGCGGACCGCAAGCGGCGATGAGCTGGGCGCCAGAGAAGACAGTGAGAGGCTGCTGCAGCCAAGGTCACAGTCCACCGCGCGCACGGGGGGCGCTATGGCCGAAGTCGAAGAGCGCAGACTTGTGTCCTGGAACGGACCGCGCCGTGAGGGCGAACATGTCAAAGAACAGGCTGTTTCGACAGGCCTCCAGGACGGGCCGCGCCGTTCCGACAAGCGTCCTCGGTAACCACGCCGCTCATCACACCCCATCATCTCCTCCCACCAACTTCATTTGAAACCTCGGCAGGGAGAGTGCAGTGGAAGAAAAGGCTAGGCACGCGTGCAGCGACAACACACGCACCCTACCCGGAGAATCCTGCCCGTGAGTTTTGTGCCAGTGCGTGGGCCTCGTAACCTGCTTTACCCGCTTGACCAGCACGTGCACCCCGACCTGGAAGCCCAGCTCCCCGCCCCACCATCCGTCCTCCCCATGATGAGGGTCAAGAGCTCCGCCGTGTGCATAAAAAACAGGGGCTGCGACCTAGTTTGAGGGCGCCAACACTGTGGCGAAAGCGGCATCGAAGACACTGTTCGTCCGAAAACAGCTCATCCACGTACCCCTTCACGGGAATACCGTCCACAGTCAGCCTTGCTAGGACGATGGCCAGAAGATTTTGACAGCAAAGAATATATCCCGGACGTGCGCAAAGCAATGTCTATCGATGGTGTTGGCCTCGGTTTTGTCCCGCGCGCGGGAAGCAAGCTCGGTGAAGGTCGGCCCGTCCTCAACTCCAGATGTGTCTAGGGCCTCCAAGATGTCAGACATCATAATGTTTAAGGTGAGTTCGAATACAGGAAATGAGTCCGTCATGAGCCTCCCGACGAGCGTCTCGACAAGAGCGCTTCCAGCAACTCGATCATGATCATCGTCGCGACCACCACTTTCAGCTTCACCACGCGGCTCGGCGGCGAAATGGCATGCATCGGCATCACTTCCAGGAACATCCGTGGGATGGTGAGCAGCAGCTCGAAGCCCGGCGGCTCCACCTCGAGATGCAGCATCTGCGCCGCGAAGGCGATGTACACCCACTGCGTCTGCGTCCTCCAAAATCCTGCGCGACACCCTTCCCGCACTGATCCTGAGCGGCAGCGCCGACTCCAACGGTATCATCTCGAACACCGCCTCCGGCCATTCAGTCTACACCAGCATCTCGGAGGCCCTCGGCAGCCCGAGCGGCACCAGCACCCGGGGGATCGCCACCGGCGCCTCCATGGGACAGCCTCGCCCAGGCCACCACGGGCCTCGAAGGTCGGAGGCGGCGGCACGACGTCGGCGAAAGGCCCCGTGCCTGGCCAGCGCTGACCAGGCTGGCTCGCACGGAGGCACTCGGGGGGCCACCGCTCCGACGAAGGCATCTATCGTGACAGGCCAGGGCCATCCTGGGCCCCAGGATGGTGTATAGACCCTCTTGGCCTCGGCCAGGAGGGCGTATACACCATCCTGGGGCCCAGGATGGCCCTGCCTTGGCACGGTGGTGGTGTATAGATGCCTTGTGCGAAACCGCATCGGCCACCTCGGGCTTCACGGCGTCGACCTTCCAGCAGCTCAGCAGCGGGAGGCCAGGCGGAGCCGGCCTGGCCCAGCACAGCACGCAGCGGACAACCGCCCGCCGTGTGTGCATGCGGCGGCCCAAGGCCCAGCGCGACGTCGCCCACCGCGAAGGCCGCCAGCAGCAGCTCCAGCGGTTCCTGATAGCCGCCTCAGAGGCCGCGCTGAGCCCTGACCTCGCGGGCGGCCCGATGGCGCAGCGTGGCGGCGAGCCCCCGCCGCGGACGGCCCCCCCCCCCCCGTACGAGAGGTCAAGGCTGCAAGGCTTCCTCCCTCCTCCTCCTGCTCCTCTTCCTGCTCCTCCTGCCCCCTCCCCAGGCGTGCGATGTCTTGACGTTTTCCATACTGGGTCCCCTGGAAGTCCCGACCCTGTCCCTATCTGGCCTGGGGCCGGCTTTTCAGCCAGAGCTGTTTTTTGGTTGTCCTGGACTTGGCGAGGGCCCCCGAGGGCCGAACACGACGGCGACGATGGCGGCGGCGGCGGCGACGACGACGACGACGACCACGACGACCACCGCGACGACGACGACGATGACGACGACGACCACCACGACGACGACGACGACGACAACGACGACGGCCGCCCAGGTGGACGCACGCAACGGCCGAGGCCCCGTGGCGGCCTGCGAGGAGGCTGGGCTGGGCAGCGGGGCGGGGCCAAGAGATCGCAGCCGTTCCGGGTCCCGTCCCGTCCATCTTCCCCCCCTCCATCCTCCTCCTCCTCCTCCTCCAGTCTTTTCCCTTATAGATAATTTCTCCCTGTCGCACCCCGAGGCCAGTTTTTAGGGCGGGCTGGGCATTTCGCCTGAGACTCCTCACCACTCATGACTCTGAAGGTTGAAATGGCAACGGTTTCACACATGAGGGCGGGTGGTTTTCAACATGTGGCTCTCGCCTTGGCGTGGCGCACATTCGTTTTCACATGTTGCAAGATGTTCACGGATTGAGGACGGGTGGTTTTCAACATGTGGTTCTCGTCTTGGCGCGGTGCACAATCGTTTAAACATGTTGCAAGAGTTTCTCGGATTGAGAGCGGGTGGTTTTCAAAATGTGATTATCGCTTCAGCGCGGCGCACATTCGTTTAACCAAATTGCAAGAGCTTCACGGGTTGAGGGCGGGTGGTTTTCAAAATGCGATTCTCTCTTCAGCGCGGCGCACAATGGCTCAAAATGTTGCAAGAGTTTCACGGATTGAGGGCGGGTGGTTTTCAAAATGTTGTTCTCGCCTTAGCGCCGCGCACAATCTTTTAACACATTGCAAGAGTTTCGCGGATTCCCATCATCAATGTACGAGAACAGGTGTTTCGGAAGGGTTCAGGATTATGCGGGTGATACAGTTACGTTGGTTCTTTGTGTTGACGTCCTGGGAACGGCGTTCTGGTACGATTCAGTATCGTCGAGACGCAACAGTCAGGTTGATCCGTGGCGTTGGATTCCCGAGAACAGTGTTTTGGCATGTTTCAGGGTCTTCAAGCTGGTGTCTTCCAACGAGGCAGTTCCACCAATGGAAAGGAACCGTTGTGGGGGCCTACGAAGAGGGAGCTTTGAGGAAGGGTTTGCTCCAACACTGTTGATGACTCTTGGGTTTACACTGGTCCTCCTCCTCCTGCGCCCCCTTCCTCCTCCTGCGCCCTCCTCCGTCTAAGTATTGCTCCTGCTCCTCCATCCCCTCTCCGTAATTGGCCCCTCGCTGTCGCGCCACCAAAGGTGTCGGTAGCGTTTCGCCTGGGACTTCCTGATCCTGAAGCTTGAACTTTGCAACAGTTGCATCCAGCGCCGCGCCCATTCGTCTGAACAGATTGCAACAGCGTCGCGGATGGAGGGCGGCGGTTTTCCAAATGTTGGTTTCGCCTTAGTGCCGCGCACAGCCGATGCAAAAACGCGTAAGAGGTACATGGATGAAGGGCGGTTCTGTTTAAAAACGTGAGTCTCGCCTCAGCGCCGCGTACATTTGTTTTGAAAGTTCGCAAGCAGCAGTTTCAAGGGTTCGCATGGTTGGAGTCCCAGGAGTTGTGTTCTGGCCAGATTTAGGACCGTCAGGAAGCAATCGTCACGTTTATTCGCGGGGTTGCAGTCCCAGGGGTGGTGTTTCGGCACGACTTAGGAATGTCAGGGCACCAAAGTCGCGTTGGTTTGCGACGCTGAGATCCCAGGACGCGCGTGATTTGGCACGATTGAGGGTTCTCAGACGGTTGGTTTCCATTGGGGCATGTCCCTCCACCAAAAAAGATCGAAGGACCTTGTGAGGGGGAACGTGGAGGGAGGTTTTATTCCAACATCGTTGACGCGTGTTGGGTGTACATTGGTCCTCCTCCTCCTCCTGCGCCCTCCTCCTCTTGCGCCCTCCTGCTCCTTCCCCTCCTCCTCTTCCTTCTCCTCATCCTCATCCTCCTCCTGCTCCTGCTCCTGCGCCCTCGTCCTATTCCTCCTCACCCTCCTTATCATCATCATGTACCTTCCTCCTTCTGCGCCGAAACAAATGGACCTTGGGATATGTGACCTTGCTTGGCTGTGACGAGTTGCTGCGGGAAGAACTCCTGCGTCCCTCTCCTCCTCCTTGTTCTCCTTCTCATCATCATCATCCTCATCCTCATCCTCCTCCCCCTGCGCTGTTCATCCTGCTCCTCATCTTCCTCCTTCTCCTCATTCTCATCCTCATTCTCGTCACCATCACCTTCACCATCACCATCACCATCACCATAATACTAGTAATACTAGTCATGCTAAGCATAAGCATCATCAGCATCATGAGCAGCAGCATCAAGATCAGCATCAGGATCAGCGGCGCAGCGTCATCATCATAAGCAGCAGCATCATCATCCCAATCAGTTCTGTACTCCTCCTCATCCTCTTGCTTCTCCTCTTCCTTCTCCTCTCCTCCTCGTCGTCCTCCTCCTCCTCCTGCGCCGTCCTCCTCGTGTCTGTGCTCGTGATCATCTCCCTTCTCGTCCTCCTCATCCTCCCCCTTAATCTTCCTCGACCTTCTCCCCCTCCTCCTTCTTGTCCTCCTCCTCCTTCACCCTCCTGCTCCGTATCCTTCGCCCTCTTCCTGCTCCTCCTACTCCTCCTCCTCCTCCTCCTCCTCCTCCTCCTCCTCCTGCCTCCTCCTCCTCATGCCTTCTTATTTCCTTTCCTGCTGCTGCCGGCCTTGACCGTGGGTGGCCCTGGGGCGGCACAGACGAAGGGATGGGGAAGGGGGGTTGTGCCGGGCAGGGGAGCAGGAGGGCCGAGGCAGCGGAGGGCGGGGGACCGAGGCGGAAGAGGAGGGGATCGGACGAGGGGGGACGGCGAGGAGGGCGGCGAGGCAAGCTGGGTGCGCTCGCGCCTCATCTGGCATCCGATCTCTCCCTCCCATCCCGTCCCGTGGCGCTGATGCTTCTTCCTCCGCGGACGCGTGGCATGGCCGACCCGCGACTCACACAGGGAGACCACTTTTGTGTGGTGCGCAACCGGGCAAAAGGAGGAGCTGCGAGCACAGGAGGACGAGGCGGCTGGTGAGCAGCAGGATGAGCGGGAGGAAAAAGATGAGGACGAACAGCTTTAGCAGGAACCAAAGCGGAAGGATCGGGAAGGAAAGAAGTACCAGGGGAAGGCGGAGGACGGGAAATGAGGGGGGCGACAAGGATGAAACAATAATCAAATCCAAAAAAGTAGCCCGCGCTGGAGCGAGACGAACAGCAGTATCAGGAATATAACGGGAGGGCCAGTGGAAGGCGGAGGAGGGGAAAGAATGGGGGGACCACAGTGAAGTAAGACTTGGATCTGGAAAAGTGGCCCGCGCTGGGGCGAGAGCACCATTCTGAAAGACGGGAGCAAAGCGCCGATCCGAAAATGAGGCCAACGTTGTAGCGGGAGCACCATTTTGAAGCACCGAAGAGAATAGATTGGAATACGACCGATTGTAATAAGTACAATCGATGTTTGAAACCCTATGCGTTAAAAAAGAACACGTGGAGGGGGCGGATGATCTCCCGGACAACTCCACGGGGAGGGAGGAGGTAGAGCAGTCATGAGATTGCTTATTGGTGGAAAAGGGGAAGAAAGAGAGGCGCCAGGAGGAGGGGGGGGGGGGGGAGACGGACGAGGGGAGGTGGAGCGGCGGAACGGGGTGGGCGGCGCTCGAAGGAGGGGGAGGGGGAGGGAAGGGGAGCGGGGAAGCAAGGGAGGGCCAGGGAGGGGACGCGGGGAAGCAAGGGAGGGCGAGGGAGGGCGAGGGCACAGGGGGCCCGCGACGGAGGCCGGCGGCGGCGCGGGCGGCGCGGAGCGCGCGGCGGCCCAGGGCGACGCCGCGGCTTGCGCTGTGGGGAAGGACGGCCGGGGAGGGGGGGAGGGACGGAGGGAAGGGGAGGGGAGGGGGGAAGGGAAGAGGACGGGTAGGAGGAGGAAGAGGAGCAGGAGGAGGAGAAGAAACGAGGAGGAACGAGGGGGGAGGGAGGGAGGGAGGGAGGGAGGGAGGGAGGGGTATGGGCGACGAGGAAGGGAGACCGGTATCCAACTTCATACCCCTCCTCACTCCTCTCTCCTTCCGCCTCCTCCTCCTCCTCCTCATCCTCCTCCTCCTCATCCTCGTCGTCGTTGTCTCCTCCTCCTCCTCTTCTTCGCCCATCGCACCTCTTCTCATTCCATCAACTTCCTCCTCCCTGGACCTGGGGGGGTCAGTGGAATCGCTGACGCCTCTCCAGGAGATCTCAGGGCCGTCGGGATTCCTCGTGCGGTTTTCGAATATCTGGTTGCTCAGATTTCAAATTCTCTGGCCCCTTGGAATTTTGAAAATTTCGAAAATTTCTGATTTGTTGTTGAAATTTTCAAAGTGTTTGGGATTTTCAAAATTTTCGATAAATTTAGATTTTCAAAATTCTGAGGGTTTGGAGTTTTCGGGGATCTTGGTCGCCTGGCTTCTCGGATTCTTTGGCCCCTGGGATTTTTTTTTGTTTTGCAAATTTTCAAATTCTAAAGAAAATCCGAAATGTTCAAATTGTTTGGAAGTTTCGAAATTTTCAGAAACAAAAAAAAAGAATTTTTCGAAATTCTGAAGGTTTGGAGTTTTCGGGGCTCCTGGTCGCCTGCCTTCTCGGATTCTTTGGCCCCTGAGAAGTTTGAGAGTTTTAGATTTTCTGAATTTTTTGAAATTTTCAAAGTGTTTGGGATTTTCGAAATTCGCTGAAAAACACGAGTTTTTCAACATTCTGAGGGTTTGGGCTTTTCGGGGATCTTGGTCGCCTGCCTTCTCAGATTTTCTGATCCGTGGGAATTTCTGGAATTCTTGAAAGTTTCGAATGTTTTAAAATGTCCGAGTGTTTGGAAGTTTCGAAATGTTCGACAACATAGAAATATTTGAAATTCTGAGGGTTTGGAGTTTTCGGGGTTCCTGGTCGCCTGGCGTCTCGGATTCTCTGGCCCCTGGGAATTTGTGACAATTTCGAAATTTTTGAAAGTTTTAAAGTGTTTGGAATTTCCGATTTTTTGAACATATGACATTTTCAAGCTCCTGAGGGTTTGGAGTTTTCGGGGATCCTGGTCGCCTGGCTTCTCGGATTATCTGGCCCTTGGGAACTTTGCTTGATATTTTCAGAGTTTTCGAAATGTTCAAAGTGTTTGAAATGTTCGATTTTTTCGAGAAAAAATCGAAATTTTCAAAATTCTGAGGGTTGGTAGCTTTCGGGGTTCAAGATTTCCTGGAGTACTAGAGCCTACGGAATTTTGTTGAACTGTATGGTTTTCATGAATTTCGGTAGATCCTGGAACCTCCTGGAGCCGTCTGGGACCCCCTGAGACTTCCTCGGTCCTCCTGTAGCCTCCGGGGGGGGGAGGGGAGTGGGGAGCAGAGGAGGAGGAAGACGCCCTCGTAGTATTGAGCAGAAGGCCGCAGGAGACTTCAGGATACGCCAGGAGGTCTTAAGGTAAAGTCAAGGTATGCCTCAGGATTCCGGGGTTTCTGGAGATCTGAGAATCGAGGGCCCAGGGTTTTTCTAACCACCGCGGCGGCTAAAACGCGCAAGGGCGCACTTTTTGATCAAAAAGTGTTTCGGTGCGTGGCCAAAGTTTTTGGTGATGCTGGAGGCCTCTTGAGGGCTTCCCGGGGGGGCTCCGAGGGCACTTGGAGCCGTCCTAGGGCGATCTTGGGAGCTCTTGGATGCATGTTGATAGCTATCCTGAACCATTTTGGGCTATCTTGCGCGATCTTGGAGGTCATCTTGGGCGTTCTGGGACCCTCTGAGAGCCATCTTGGGCCATCTTGGGCGCCCTGACCGCTCGCGACACCCTCCCTCCACGCCCTGGGGAGGGAGGAGGTAGGGGGGGGGACCCCTCCCCGAATGTGAAGAAGGGAGTTTAGCAAAACAAGCCCTTGAGACCACTCACGCCCTCAAGGGCTGGTGGGATCCACTTGTACTTTTCAGTATAGCAGATCACAACGCGGGACATCGTATGTCTCATGACACGGCAGCGCATATCATAGCGCACTGCATGGCCGCGCAAACATCGCCACATGCGATATTATGGCATAGCATAACACAATATTGATATTGAAGTGATTATGCATTGTCCTTTGTGTTGCGTTGAATGTGTATTCATTATGCAGCCTGTTTTGGTTCGGACCCAGCCTCGCTGGCCTGGTCACTGCCAGCGCCACCCCGCCAGCGCGGCCAAGCCGTGCATGGCTTTTCGTTTCGACGTGCCCGACGGGCCTTTCCCGCTGCGCCAGCTGTTGGCGGCTCGCCAGGCCATGATAGACGAGCCAGACATGGCAGAGACGATCCTGAAGTGCGCCGAGAAGGTCTGGATCGACGCGCCTGCGTTGCAGGTCTATAAGCCACGCGACTTCGTCTGGATCGCGAAGCCAGCTCGTGTCAACGCCTGGGAGGCGCTGACGAACTTTCACTTTTCCTTAGGACGCAATCCGAATATTCCAACCGCTACATTACAGCACTCGGTGTTCAATCTGGTTTGGTTTGATGGGCATGGGGCTCCGCATCAATGGCCCCGTACCTTTGTAATCCACGTGTTTTTCGACCCCTCTTTGCTTGAACTCTTGATTTGAATCGATCATGGTGGTTTCCATATTCTTCCTCTTCCTCCTCCCTCTCCCTGTCTTCCCTTCCTCCGTTCCCTCACCCCTTCTCTCCTTCCTCCAGCTCGGCTCCCCGCGGGGGTTGCGAACTGTGCAACTGTCGCCAGTTTCGCGGGATCTTGCGAGGCCCAGCGGTGTCGGTGAGCACGCAGACTCCGTCGAGATCTCGCGGCTTCCGGCGGGGGGGCTGCGAATTGCGGACCACGCAGGCCCCGCCGAGACCTCGCGGTTCCCTGCCCGTCGCCACTTTCGTGGTTTCCTGAGCGGTTCAGATTTTAACCGCCGCGTGTTTAGAGAGGGTCGGCGTCGTCCCAGGGCATTTTTCCCGACGCCGTGCGCGGCCCCCCAGCGGTTGCGATATTTTTTCCAGCGATTGCGCAGAGGGCCGCCAGACACGAGCACGCAGACCGCGCGCCGCGCCCTGCGGAAGGCTGGGGGTCACCAGTCGCGCATTTTCCTTTTATCGAAAACGGGCAGCGAAACGCGTCTTAAGCGGCGCGTTCCGCTGCGCGCGTTACCCCCCCCCCCGGAGTGCAGCGGTATAGTTGAAGGTGAGCGCGCTCGGCCTGCGGCCCCCGATGTCAGGTTGAGCGCAGTTCGCGGCCGTCGGTGCTCGCGGCCACGTGAATGGGACGGTGAATGGGAGGCGCTTCCATGATGAGTTCGAGAAGAGCCTGGCGGACTTCGACGACCACGCGGCAGGCGTTGGGGACGTTTTCGCGGCTCTGAAGACCGCCGCGGCCGCTGCCCCGGAGGACGGCCTCTTCTCTGACCGCTTCAACAAGCTGCTGCTGCGGGCGGCCAACCGCGAGGCCCTCGCCGACCAGAAACTGACGAAGGCCAAGCGGGTCGTCAAGGCGCGCAAGCACAACCTCAAGCTCAAGGGCCTGCGAGCCGCGGCGACCGCGAAAGGCGCAGGGAAGTGCGCCGTCAAGGCGAAGAAGACCGACAAGGTCAAGCTCGGCGCCGCGACCCGCAGGGCGGCGAACAGACTGGCCGCGAAGCGGTTCCAGCTCTCGCTCGCCGGCGCCGCGGGGGCGCTGACCGGCAAGAACGCCTTCCTCTACTTGGAGCAGGCGTTCGTGGACGGCGCCGCGGAGGTGGCGCCCGGCGCGCTCGCGACCGCCCACTCCGCGATGGGCCCCGGGGCGCTGGCCTTCTTCGCCGCGGGCGGCCGCGCCTCGGCCAGCACCGGCGCGGCCGTGGCCAAGCAGGCGACACTGTCGGACGACTGGGACTTCTCCGCGGCGCAGCTCAACCGCCCGCGGTGGGCGGTGAACCGATGACTTTGGTCGCTGGGGGCGGCGAACCGATGACTTTCGAAATGCGCGGGGGGGGGGGGCAGCCGAGATGGCCATTGCCTTGCGCTGATCAGGCTGTGCAGAAGGCGAATGGATGAACATGCAAGTTCGCGGCATTGGGCGTTTGAGCAGATGGTTAATAAATTTCGCCGCACAGCCGCCACGCGTGAAACATAGCTGCCGCCCTCAACCGCAATCCAATTTGGAGCTGTAGGCCGAGGCCCAAGTGGCCGGTCGGAAAGTTTCCATCACTCTTGGGCAGCGAGCGCCGCCATCGCGGTAGTCGTCGATGCTGCGCCGTTTGGCCCTTGTGCGTCGATGCTGCATTGTTGGGCCTCTCTCTGTCTGCGATTGCTAGGGGAATGAAGCGCTGTTTCTGTCAAGTGTCGGCTTCCGCCATAGCACCGCGCACGCCTCAGGATGTCCATGTGCTTCAGTGGGGTCAGCTCCCACGCAAACAGTGCGCATGTTTTAGAGGTCCTCGCTCCAAGACGGCCACAGGGGCATCCAAAAAGGGCCCACGTAGAAATGCAGTTTCAGTTATATCTCCAACTATTATTTTGATTTCTTTTGCAGCACGCCGAGAAGGTGCCCCATGTACCCCCTGGGGGTCCAAGGTTTTTCCCAGAACGCTCAGAAGACTCCAAGAGGTTGCGCGCGCACTGCTGTTGTTTCTCTCAAGAGAAGGAGGTCTATAGATCTACTGAGGCCGGCCTGGCAGTCGTCGTCGTCGTCGTCGTCGCTGCCGCCGTCGTCGTCGTCGTCGTCGTCGTCCTCGTCCTCGTCATCGTCGTCGTCGTCGTCGTCGTCGTCGTCGTCGCGGTCGCCGTCGTCGCGGTCGTCACCGCCGCCGTCGTCGCCATCGTCGTCGTCGTCGGCGGCGGCGGCGACGACGGCGACGGCGGCGACGGCGACGGCGACGGCGACGGCGATTGCGCA